ACATTAGACTCCATCTTAGAGTTTGCATTCCACAGTACCCAATGATGGCAATCTTCCCAAATTTTCATGCAATCAGGTAGGGAATTTGACTTCCTTCCATCCATCCATCCATCCATCCATCCATCCATCCATTTCTTTACACTACTGCTTTTAAAACAATTCTTAAATTTTATTTTATAGAGATGGGCTTTCACTATGTCGCCCAGGCTCATCTCAAACTCCTGGGCTCAAGTGATCCTCCTGTCTCAGCTTCCTAAACTGTTGGGATTACAGGCATGAAACAGCATGCCTGGCAGCACTGTTTTTATTAAACCATTCTGGCAACTCAAAAGATTAATTTTTCTTTTTCAACAACATTTCTTCAAGGTATAATATCAGTACTATCCAACAGGTAGTCATTTGTTATGTTTCAGCAGTTTCCAAATGATGTAAATTAAATGTATAATGTTTAGGCATGTTAGCATACTTTGTGATCAAAATCTTATTTTTGAATTTGCTAGATGCATTTACAAAAATCTTAGCATTGGTTTCACCAAATTATCTCTAGGTGGCAGCAGAGAGCAATCTTAATGCAAATAGATGATTAGGAACAGCACAGGGTTTGCTTGTTTACTTAAAGAAAACAGACCAATTATGAGATGATAAGGGTGTCTAATTGGAATAAGGAGTGAATGAATAGATAAATAGATTCAGTAGGGGTTAGAAATGTTGGAGATGTATTGGAGACAAAACCGTTACCACCTTCAAAAAAGTAGGTAGTAAAGGAGAGACTAATTAGCCTCATAGTTTAAGAAGTAGAGTTTGGAGTGAGATTTCTTGGGCTTGAATCCTGTTTCTATCATTTTTCAGCTGTGTGGCTTTTGACACTTTATATAACCTCTCTGCTTTGAGTTTCCTCAATGGCAAATGGTATTTACTACATAGGATTGCTGAGATAATTAGGTAATATTTATAAACTGCTTAGAACAAGACTAGGGTGTTGAGCTTAGGGCTTGATAAATATCTGCCATGGATATGACCAGTGAGATTTGCAGTGGATATTTAGCTGAATATAAAATGTGATTGCTAATTTCTCTATTCTGATTTGGTTTTTTATTTTGATGCTACCCACACTTAATTTTCAAATAACTATTTCTCAATTTTCCTTTTTGTATAATCTATAAAATTATAATAAAAAGTAATCATTAATTGCAATGCAACATATTTTTTCTAACTTTTTAAGAAGAATTTTCATGCATGTGACATAGATCAACTATATATTAGAGTAAAAATTTTCAAGAAAAATCAATATAATGGAAGGTATAAAAATAGAAATATGCATTTTGTGAGGCTCTTTTAAGTTACCGTTTAGTCCACTTAATGATTGCCCATGGAGGAAGATACAGGATTTCAGACACGTCTTGAGAGCGTGAGTCAATGAAGGTTACAGAGAGGTGAACTGGAAAATAGAAAATGAAATATGGCCAGGAAAGCAGTCTTTTTATGCAATTTTATGTTGAATTATAGCATCTCCATGGTAATTCATTGATTAAAATCTCTTGTTATTGTACATGGGAGCAGAGAGGAAGTAAAGAGTGGAGTGTTGTAGAGTTTGAGTCCCTTGAAATTCTTTAGACTATTAGGTACTGTTCTTTATACCTCTGTGAAACTGGTATGTTAGTACTTGGCTAGCAGCAGGACAGGGTAGATTGAGGGAATTAGGACTAAGTATTTAGCTAGTACATTTGTGTGAGTGTGTGTGTGTGTGTGTGTGTGTGTGTGTGTAGGGGGGCACATATGCATGTGTAGAGAAGGGTAAGTCAGGTCAAATGCCTAAGCCAGAGAGTTCACCAAAAGTAACAATGAAAAGGGAAGTAGTTATTGGCCCATTTTGCAAGGACACACATCCAGAAAATTCAGCTATGGTAGGAGGGGCAGGCAGGTGCTGAAGTTCTAGGCAGTTAAGACACCAATACAGGAGGTGAATGGTAGGCAATGGTACTGGGGAAAAAAGGGTCTGGGGAACAAAGGGTCCAGGGAACAAGAAGTCAGAAATAAAAGTCCACGAAGTCTTTGCCATGAGTATTCAAGAGCCATGCAAAGCTTCCACATAACTGGGAGGAATGAAAGGGCAAGACTGCACCATTTCATCTTAAATGATTTCAGTTGTGGCTAAGTCTGAATCTGACATTGGAGAGAAAGAAATACCCGACTGGAAGAAGTTTACTTCAACAGCATTTATAGCTACCTAAATCAATTTTCAGTTTAGCAGTTGATAAATTGAGTAAACCAACTGTGTTGGTTTGGGGGAATTATGGCCTAAAATAGTTCTAACTTACTAAAGCTTCTATCGTCTATGTCTTTTTGTTTTGGCTACTACAGCATTAATTGGCATTATATTGTTCTGTTTGTCTCTCGTATGCTCTGATTTGTAACTGGTATTATTGAAGGAGACCTGGAAGACTGGTGGAGTAAAAGGTTTGGGTTTCTGGCATAAACGACAGCTGTTTCTTCATCCTTTTTCACTCTTTTGCCTTGCTTCCTGGGTCCTGTTGCCCAAGGGGCCCAACCAGGGAGAATTTGTGGCCTTTAGAGTTTTTAGAGCAGTGCATTACCAGACACACACATCTTTCTCTTATACTGACTTTCGTGGCATGTCTTTGGTGGATGATTATGTTAACAAACTTTTAGTCCCTTTATTGTTTTAAACATCCACCCTCCATAAAGGGTGGAAGGTGGGAGTTGAGTGGTTATAAGAATGGGATTTGCAGGTGGAGAGGATGAAGGACCAGGGAGAGAAACTTTCATCCTGTCAAATCGATTTTGCAAATGTTATGGCTTTTGATACCCATCACTTGATTCTTAAACTGCTGATTGCAGATTTTGATCTGACCTCAGGTGAGTGCTTGGGAGTGTGTCTATGAAAGTTGTTGCATGAAATTTCAAAGCAGACGAGTTGAGTGAAAAGAACACAGGGCTAGAAAATATAGCACATTTTATTCCCAGCTGTGCCAACAAGTTGCTTTGAGGCCTTAGGCCATTTAGCCCTCCTGTGGTTTAGCTTTGGCTGTGTCATTGAGTGGACATTAAGATAAATGATCTCCAAGAATTTTTGATGACATGAGAAAAAGCTCATATCAATATAATGTAAACAGATACAGACTTGAGTAAGAAACTTTCCCAGTATCACTGGACTAGTAATTGCGCAACAGAGACTTAACCCAATGCCTATCTGTATCCTAAACCAGTGTGAATTTTAATTTTAATTTCTCTCTACTCAATGCAACCTCTGCCTCCTGGGTTCAAGCGATTCTCATGCTTCAGCCTCCCGAGTAGCTGGGACTACAGACGAGTGCCATCATACCTGGCTAATTTCTTTTTTGGCCATATATATATATATATATATGTATATATATATACATATATATATACACACACACATTTTTTTTTTAAGTAGAGATGGAGTTTGGAGTTTTGTCATGTTGCCCAGACTGGTCTCGACCTCCTCAGCTCAGGTAATCTGCCTGTCTCAGCCTCCCAAAGTGCTAGGATTACAGGCATGAATGACTGCTCCCAGCCAACTTTAACTTCTATGTGGTAGAAAACCAGAATGTTACCCATATTTTAAATGATGTATTCTCACTAATTTCCCGACACCTGGTGAAACATTAGACAGAAGGAAAGATGTTTTTATTATGGTCTCCCCATTGTCATAGCTCATACTCTCGTGTCCCATGCCCTCAAGGACTTGATTTCACTGTCTTCATCAAATTAATTAACTTGGAAAAAAAAGCTTCAGAAGGGGAAAGGGGGAATATTTATAATGTTTGGCAAGAAGGAAGATAAAACTGCTAACAGAAAAAAATGCAGGCTGTTTAATCTTTTTCCTGTTTGCAATGTTTTCTTCCCCTTCCTGTACAGTTTTGCCTTGGTGTAGAAAATTCTTAGCACATAGAGGATTTCCCCAACTCTCAAACATAACTTAAAAGCATAGGAACTAGCCACCTTAAGGAAGAGGTTTTTTTTTTTTTTTTTTTTTTTTTTTTTTTTTTTTTTTTGTTTTTTGTTTTTTTTGAGGAGGAGAGTCTGAATTCCGGATGTGTGGCAACTAAAAGATTGGTAATTATTTCTAATTTGGTTAAAATGATCAGCCTAACTCTTCAAAGGTGAAAGTGACTGGCAATAAGTATTGAATTCTGATAAATAGAATGCCCTCACTCACCCCTAACAAGATACCTTCATCCTAATTACTGAAACCCGTGAATATGTTACCTTGGGTGGCAAAAAGGACTTTGCCGGTGTGTTTCAATTAAAGATCTTGAGATTAGGAGATCATGTTAGATTATTTGGGTGGACCAAAAATAATCACAAGGTCTTTATAAAAGGGAAGCAGAAGGGTCACAGTCAGAGAAGGAGATGTGACCGTGGACCAGAGGTCGGAACGATGTTGCTACAAGCCAAGAAATGCAGGCATTTTCTAGTTGCTGGAAAAGGCAGAGAACAAATTCTGCCCGAGCCTCCAGCTGGAGTGCAGCCCTGCCAACACCTTGATTTTAGTCCGCTAAGATCCATTTCAGACTTCTGATCTTCGGAACTGGATGATAAATGTTATATTGTCTTGAGCCAGTGAGTTTGCGGTAATTTATTACAGTAGCAATAGGAAACTAATACACTTATGATGCTTACAGAGTTGTGCGTTGACTTCCATTATAGACAGTAATTTCACACGAGAATTTTCAAGGAAAACTATTATATTCTAGACTTGAATACTAAGGTCATAATGCTCTTCAACCGGGAGAAACCTCTAAAAGTTATCATGATTGGAAAATTTACAAGGATGGGCCAAAATAAATAAATATTCTGTTTTACTTTTTAGTGTAAGTTTAGACAAATCTGTTTATTTTGGACATGTTCAATGCCTTGCTGTAAAGTTTATCTGTGCACAGCAGAAGTGAGAAGAGAACCAATGAGCTGAGAGAGAACTCAATCAATCTGCTTCCTCCGTCTTTGCTTCAGGGCTTCATACAGGAAATCTATTGCTGTGTCAAGTTCCAGAGAAAAGCCTCTGTTCTTCCAAGTTACTAATCAGGCTAAACTACATAGACGTGAAGGAGGGAGCTAGAAGGAAGGGAGTGCCGCGCTGTTTGATGGGCTAAGAGGATTCTGTACGGAGAAGTTGACCAGAAAGGGTCTCACCATGCTCACAGCTCTTTCTGTACCTGTGTGCAGGAAAATTACTGAGTGAAGGGCAGAAAGAGAGAAAACAGAAATGCTCTGTCCTTGGAGAACTGCTAACCTAGGGCTACTGTTGATTTTGACTGTCTTCTTAGTGACTGGTAAGTTCGAATTCTCTTTGGGAGAATGGTGAGAAACCTGGTCTCAGCTCTTCCTGAGTTTTTTTTTTTTGTCTTTCTTCTGGGGAAATGCAAATCAATTGCAATAATAGATATAGAGGGTTGCTAAATACGGGTTACTCCTGTATCTAATTTACTTTACCATCATTTTTTCACGTGTCTTACTTATTTTACTTTGTATCCAACTGTAATACACACATCTCTATAATTTGTCTTACTGCCCACTTCCTTATTTCCTCCTGTTTTTCGAACGAGGTAGGATACATCAAATACACACCAGCAGCAATCAAAGTCACTTAGGTTCTCTTTATCTTATTCTCACCCGCATCCCCTCTTCTTAGACAGGGTCTTGCTCTGCTGCCCAGGCTGGAGTGCAGTAGTGCATCATAACTCACTGCAGCCTGTAACTCCAGGGCTCAAGCAGTCCTCCCACTCAGCCTCAAGAGTGTCTAGGACTACAGATGTGTGCTGTTATGCTTGGCTAATTTTAAAATTTTTTGATAGAGATGGAGTCTTGCTATGTTGTCCAAGCTGATCTTCAGCTCCTAGATTCAAGTGATTCTTCCACCTCAGACTCTCAAAGCACTGGGATTACAGGCATGAGCCACTGCACCCAGCCTCTTCTCTCTTAAGAATTTTTTTTTTTTTTTAAATAAGAACCCTAACTCATTTAGGTCCACATTGCCAGTAGCATAGATTAGGACAGTTTATTGCTCTCTGTCACTTTCAATGATAAGGCGCTTCAAAAAATATAACAGTTACAGTGGCACGTCTGTGATGTATGTCTGTATTTATCTTCAAGATGTGTAGGCTGTAAGAGACACTATGAGTTAGAGAACACACTCCTCAACATCTAGGTTCCTACAGAAGTTATACAGAACGTGGGGGTGTCCTGGTTTCACTGTAGAAGGTTGGTAGGAGTTGGTGTGGGAGGGAGTTTTCAGGTTTCACTTTTAGTAGATGGAGCAGCTGCAAGGGAAGAGTGTAGTTGGTTTTAAATGTTATAATTTGATAATTGAAAGAAGAAAAGGTATTTTTTTCCTCATTTCTGAATGACTTTAAAATGCTGCTTGTCTTCCAGCAAAAAATCTTCTCTCAACATGTTAATCTTACGAGCAAGCACCATGCAAAATAACTACTCTATGACTGTACGTTCCTATCAAGAATTTTCACATACTTTTTCTCCTTTGATCTGCACAGCAACCCAGTGAAGTAGACATGGAAGACACCTCTCCATTTTACAAAGGTAGAAATGGAGGCGTAGAGAGGTGAGATGATTTTCCCAAGGTTAGATATGACTAGAATATGGCAGAATCACAATCAGTAATGATATACATACATCAGTAAGCACCACTAAACATTCAAGTAGGCAGTTTTCCTCATTATTTAACCACTGTGCTTTTCACTGAAGGGCACCAGTGAAAAAAGTCAAGACAATACTTAGTTTTAGTCTTAATAGACTGTTATTTACCTAAAAAAAAAGTCAAGTCATTTGAATCTTCAGTAGTTGAGATCTTGTTGTAGAAAACTCTTATAGAAACTTGTGCAGGACCCAGCTTGGCTGGGAAAGCCAGACAGGCAAGGAGCTGTTTATGTCAAATTGTACTGTTACTTTTGGGAAAAGGAAAAAAAAAAACATTAAAACATAATTTATAATTTTCAATTTTTAAAGGCTGAAAGGTTTACATTTTAAAACTATTTCTGAACACAACTAGGAAAGACTGCATATATTGGATCTATGAAGTCTATGCTTATGTTACCATCAAGTTATTAAATGTTTAAAATCAAGATATAAAAAGGCATATTACTTTACATGCAGTGATTCATTGTGATAGGTTTACCATGAAGCATATCACTTGGGGAAATGACTTTATGCCTTTATTGCTAAAACTGCTCCGTTATTGATACTGCCAAACAGAACTCGCTTTGTACAAGATAAATTAATAAAGGAGCAAAGGAGCTAATGAATTAAATGTAAAACATAGTACAGTATTCATTTGGTTTCCCTATTTTCTTTTTGTTTACTTGCTTGTAACTTCAAGCAGCATGGTAGTTTGTAGACAAGATTTATGTGGAAAAACCTGAGGGGAAAAATAAAAGCAACCTAAATCGTGCCTGTCAGAGCAATATTCCCAAGCTTCTACCTGGTCCCCTTTCCTGGCACTCCTCATATCCTGTGCCACTTCTGCCTCCTTCTTTTAGCCCTATCGTCTTCTAGATTTTGTGTGTGTATGTTCAAATTGTATTTTTCTGTTTCATTTAAAATTATTCTATCTTTTGTAAAAGTTACTGTTTGGTGATTATGAGTTACTAAAAAGGAACCCTCTACTTCTTTCCTTCTTTGGGCTAATTTTTATTCATTTATTGTTATCTTCCACTAAAGGACAGGCAGTAACAAGAAGAGGAGATAAAAATCAAGACAGGGCTCTAAGGTAGCTTTGGCAGATTTGCAAACAATGGAAAAAAATTAAAAACAATTGTGCAAAAGAAGGGTTTGTCCTTATTAATAATTTTAGTTTTATCTTCCTTTTCTAGTTTGTGATATTTGTGAATTTACATATTATAATAATTTATAGGTGTGTTTTTCTCTAAGTGTTCATGTTTAAGCAATTAATAAATAAATTAAAAGTCCTTATTAATGGGTATATGTGTGTGTGTAGAATAGTGGCTAAAAGTTATTAGCCATCTAAATTAGAAAGAGAACGGTAAAACAGTTGGTGAACACTTAAAGTCAGTAAATCTTGAACTTGTGTATGAAACTAGTACAAATCTAAAGGAGGGAGATATTACAGTGGGTTGGAGTTGTTGAAGGCTTTATGGGGATGGGTCTTGAGGTAGGCTTTGAATGACAGGTTTGGATAAACAGGGAAAGGTAGAGAAAGGAACTGGAAAGATAGGACATGTAGCATGTATAAATGCAAGGTGCTTCAGAGAGAGAAAGAGCTGTAGCTTGCAGGAACAGCAATTATGTGTTAAATGACAACAGGAAATAGGGCTGGATTTTTGGGGTCCTTAATAGCTAAGTAGAAAAACCTGGGTATTGGTCAGTAGACAATGAGGAACCACTTGCTTTTTGGTGAACGGGAAAATTATATAATCAAGTAGCATTTTTGGATGTGGTAACAGTGTTCCATTGAGTGGTAGTGGCACTAGATTAAATATTTATTTTGAAACATGAGTCAAGAGCTATGCTAGGGTTCTCATTTGTAAAAGTTCTGTGATGCCACTGAGATATATATGTGACTGAGAAGGGAGCTTCTTTGTGGAGGAAGATGTTAAGTTCAGTATAGGATGCGAGGACAAGTGGGATGAAAATTCCTACAGATACTTGGAAATACAGTCAGCCCTCTGTATTGCATCCCTGGATTCAACCAATTTCAGATTGAAAATATAAGGAGAAGCCGGGCGCGGTGGCTCACGCCTTTAATCCCAGCACTTTGGGAGGCCGAGGCGGGTGGATCACGAGGTCAAGAGATCGAGACCATCCTGGTCAACATGGTGAAACCCCGTCTCTACTAAAAATACAAAAATTCAGCTGGGCATGGTGGCGTGTGCCTGTAATCCCAGCTTCTCAGGAGGCTGAGACAGGAGAATTGCCTGAACCCAGGAGGCGGAGGTTGCGGTGAGCCGAGATCGCGCCATTGCACTCCAGCCTGGGTAACAAGAGCGAAACTCCATCTCAAAAAAAAAAAAAAAAAAAAAAAAAACAAAAAAAAAAAAAAAAAAAAAAAAAAAAAGAAAATATAAGGAGAAAAAGTAGATGATTTCATTAGTACTGAACATGTACAGATTTGTTCTTGTCATTTCCTAAATAATTCAGTGTAAGAGCTGTTTATATACCGTTTACATTGTATTAGGTATTATAAGCAATCTAGAGATGATTGAAAGTATATGAGACATTGTGCATAGGTTATATGCAAATGCCACATCATTTCATATTAGGGACTCGAGCTTCCTTGAATTTTGCTATCTCTGGGGGTCCTAGAACTAATCTCCCAAAGACACTGAGGGATGACTGTATAGAAAATTCTAGTGTTTGTGAGTCATTCGTGAAGTAGATGATCCATTCCATGAACAGAATAAATATAGAGACAAAAAGAATAGAATAAGCACTAGAGATATTTGGATATGGGCTCTGAGAACCATACTTATCTCTTTCTAGTCTACGAAAGATAGGAAGATCTGAGAAGAGACAGGAAGGGAGCCAATATGGAATGCCAATTGAGTGCTTAACATCAAATAGGAGAAGATACTCTTCTGAAATTTAGGGTTAAGAGGAGACATTAGATATAGGGATTCTAGTAGGTTGAGGATGGCAATAAGGTAATGGGAACAAATGAGAGAGTTTATAGAAGATAAATTTCCTCCCAATAAGATCATGAATATTTCAGTTAATGGTATTTAGTTAATAAAACGACCCAGTAGTTGTTTAATTTTGTTATATCTGAAAAATTAACCTGTACATTGATTAAAATGTAGTAGCCATTGACATATTTTTGCCTCTTCTCCCTTATTATTACTCACGTTCCTTTGTCAATACCTGACTGGGATTTGGGAGATCTGTGGTTATAAAATATCTTTGGACTGTGTGATGCTAGTAGCCCCTAAGAATCAAGTCAACAATCATTACTTTTAAAATAATATTAATAGTAACAAATATCACTGATTTATATAATTCATATAATAGACATAGTCACAATCAGCTCTTTTTTCCCCAGGAAGAAATGACATTATTCATGCATTAACACTAAGCAAACAACTTCCAAGATTTTCTAGCTAGAATTTGTATGCTTAGACCCCATTCTAAAACCAAAATACAATTTGTATTTAAGGCAAGCAATATCAAAAAGTTCCAGGATTAAAGCAGGGCTAAAAGTTTTTCCATTTCTTTTCTGAGACAGGGTCTCACTCTATCTATCACCCGGGATGGAATGCAGTGCTGCAGTCATGGCTTACTGCAGCCTTGACCTCCAAGGCTCAGG